GAAGTTCCTTGCCCGCCACCTCGTCCCAAAAGCCTCCTTTTGCCGATCTCGCGATTTCGCGTCTCACGTTCGTCTCATCGTCCACCTTTGAATCCCGAGCTCTTCTGGTTCGTTGCCTTCCGCGGCTTTTCCTTCCTCATTCCCCCTTCATCACTCCCCGCCTTCTCCTCCTCACCCTTGGCCGTCACTCCTCATCGTTGTCTTCTTTCTTCTTCGCGTTCCGCTTTTTTTTCATCGCGCGAATAGTCGAGCAGTTTCGATCGCCGTGTGCTCGTACTACGGCTGTGTCTGCCGGTTTCAAAGAGCAAAGAGCGACGTCTCCTCGGGGGTCTTCAACCCCTGGTCGACTATAGACCTAGACGAAGAGTACACATCAAGCAGGGATATGCGCTGCCCGCGAGCCACGTTGGCGGCCACGTCGGGCCGCCTCGCGAAAAAACAGTCGCGGTCAAAAGCCTTTGAATTTGTGGTAGATCCGACTAATTGTCGTCGTTCGGAAATTAAAAGACAGGAAAGATGTTTGAGTGAATTATGTATAATGCGAAGCGAGAATTTCGCGGCAGGCTCGCGGGTTGCAAATTAAACGATAAGAAAATCAAAAACTGTGCCAAGACGTGAATTATACGACGTTCGGGATAATTGTGAATTTTTAATTTCTCTTAGGCCAAAATTTCATTATTATTTGAATCCTGAATATTATCATGATAAATATAGTGTCACTAAGTCAACTTATTTTAAAATGAAATGAAGGCCGACCAAAGTTTGACTTTGCGCAATTCGTTAAAGGTGCTTGCACATCGCGTCATCCAAGAAATATCCGATTTGCGCAGAAAAGCTCTCGATTGAGAGTCAATAAAAAAAGTAAACGATAGCGGAGAACGTGAAAAAAAATTCGTGCCGTGTCTCAAGTCGTCTGACGAGATTACCCGTAATCGATCGAATAATCACGTAAAACCTCGTCCGAGCGAACAGGAAATCGCATCGAATGCGATCTGTCGTCTCGTCGGAGATCCGGATCGATTTCCATTTCCCGGCTAGCTGCGATTAACCTTTCGAATTGCATTACGTTGCGATCCGATTGTAAGGAACGTATATGTTAGATCACCGATACCGCAGGAAATGAACTGTCAAATGTTACCGAGTTCAACATCACAATGAAGTTTTCCGCATACGAGTGTGTTCGTGTGCTAGTAATTAGAGACGTATCGAGTTAATGCGCGCTCGCAAACTTCAATTCGATTCGCTACTTCCATTTTGTCGAGATCAGATAATAATTCTATAATGATTTGATAAATGGTAGATTCGTCTGTGCTGACATATTGAGACGAGTTCGATGATTCGCGATTTTGTTATCGTAGGAAACGCAGATCTCTTATTAAGATGTGCAATACCGAAATCGAACGGGAGAATGTCGACCAATTTTCAAACATTTGATATCGAGCGATTGCAGTGCAGTGCAATTATTTATTATTTATTTAATTCTGGATAAAAAATTTTGTAAATTCTAGATTGCTCTTCGATTGCTCTAAATTCGATAGTTTGATCAAATTTATATTTGCGCGTATTACGACATAAAAACGTATCATTAATTTAATTAATTTAATTCTAATTTTCTCAATTTCTGTGGAAATTTTATAAATGTAACGGTTACATCTTTGGCAATTTGGTATTCATTAGATGATAAATATCCGGATAACTGAAAACTCGGTAATTTTCAGCATCGATAATTTCACGAAAATCTCATTTAAATTAGGTTGCACCAATTAAGTAAATCTAAAGTTACACTCTGATTTCTTTCTAATTGGCACAAATGCAAAAAAAAAAAGAATATTTATATCATATTTTTTCATTTTGGCCCACTTTAAGTTTCACGGGTAGTTTATAGCTTTTTAATGTTCTCACTTCTATCAACAAGTGCAACAAAAATACATAAAAAATAAAATTAAATACAAGATATATAGACGTTTTTGGCCTGCTGATTATGAATATGAAGTCAAATATGTAAAACTATTTGTATAAATAATAAAATGTTTAAACAAAACATGTAAAAAGTTGAAAAAATTATTTATACAAATAATTTATCGATTTGCCCGATATTCGAACCATTCTTGACTAATTTAACAAATTTAAAATATTTTGGAATCTCGGCTAAAGAAATTTAGAATGGTTTGAGCCCAAGCTGTGCCAATTTTTTTTTAATTATTTAACTATATCTTGTATTTAATTTTATTTTTATGCATTTTTGTTGTACTTGTTAATGATAGGAATGAAAATATAAGAATTAAAAAGCTATAAACTGCCCGTGAAACTCAAAGTGAGCCATGAAAAAATGAAAAAAAATATGACCTAAATATTTTTTGTACTTCTTCTACATTTTTGCCAAATTAGGAAGAAATCAGAGTGTACCTTTTAAGTAGGTTTATTTATAAGTGGTAAGTTAGTTAACGATAAAATCATATTTCTATCTTTGAGGAAAAAACAAAGATATAAAAAACAAAGATATAAAGATATAAAAAACAAAGATATAAAGAAAAGATATAAAAGATAGAAAAAACAAAGATACAAAGAACATATGATTTAACCGTGGATTATCTCAAGATAAATGTTCCAATGATTGAACTAATAAGAAAACTCGATCGATTTTACATTATTTATACAAAAGTAACGTATATATAAGACTTAAAAAATATTAAATAAAAACTGAAAACTTAAAAAATAATAGGAATTGAAATAATCAATAAATATCTGTTATAATTGTAATGAAATGTTATGCCAGTAATTACTAGTAATCGAATTGAAAAATGATTACTGAATAATATACATCCAATCTAATAACTGAATGCTCAATTAAATAACATTAAAAATTGGGGCACAAAGAAATATCTTCTGACAAAATTTAAAAGATTTTCTTAGAAATATTGAATACAGATATATTATTAATGTTTCAATCATTGGGACATTGTTTAATTACCGGAACACTTACCTTACCACTCGCTTGATGCAACTGGACTTTAATCACTTTCCCTGTGACAAACATGTATTTCTCACACAGCGCACACGGAACTTGGTCGAGACGTGTCGTGTCGCGTTAGCTCTAACTTCACCCGCAACTCGCCTCTATTTTTTCTTTTTTTAAGCGTCAATGCAGTTATCAGCGTTTCATTTACTCATTATCCACATCGGCAATTACAGTTATCGGCTCGAAACCGTTATCGTACGCTTCGAAAGCGCTCGCTAGCGGTTTCGATCGCATCACCGGGCGTTAATAATAACACCACACCGCCCACTTTTTTGTCGGTGTAAGTGCCGCGTTGGTGCCAGACCCGCGGGCTTTGAATCGCGATGCATAACTTTTGCAACAACATCGCGTGTCTCCCGAAGTTTCGACCGGTTCAGTTCTCGGGCCGCGTGAGTTCCAGCACGCCAGCGACGATGGCGGAGGCCCTGAAAAGCGCTCGTTTAATTTGCCGTCGCGACCAGGAAGCACCGTGCAAATCGGCCGGAAGTTCGCCGCGCACGTACAAAATACGCGAGCAGCGAAGCGCACGTGCGCCACCGCCGCCGTCGCTGCTGGTTGCAAATGTCCGCCCGTTGTCCAATATTGCACCGTGGCGCAATTAAGCGCGCGGCACAATGCCGAAGCTAATGTCACGGTCGTCCGGGCGCGGCGATAGCAATTGAGCATAATTTACTCCGACGTGACACTCGACGCTTGCTGCGATCGGGACGTTGCGTTTGGATCACTTACATTTAAACGGCGCGAATATATGCGGTAACTCTCCGCGGCGAGGAAGGCCGCCGAATCAATGATAATTAATACGAATAATTAATATGTACATTGCATCAAAGCATGACTTGCTCGTAATCCTTGTTAAAATGCGATCTGAAAGTGAAGTGTCGGCCATTTGTTATACCAAGTAGTTGCAACTCGGTATTTTTGAGTAATAATTTACACAAGTTCCGTGTTTGCGAAATTAATCGAATAGATGAAGAATGTAACGCGAGAATGAGAATGTCGCGTTTGATAAATTATAACTTTGATATCAGGGCGGTTGCAATTCGATCTAAAAATAATAATTTACATGGGAGTAGAGTTTCTAACTTTATTGTCGTAATATTTAACAGATTTAATAAGTTCATATCCGACGTCTTGTTTTCCTGTTCTTTCTCGTGTAAAGTCGACAATTGTGTCCAACTCGCGGCAACGAGTGTTGAAGGATCGTTATTACTTAGATATCGCGCAAGGATCGCAAACATCTTCATTTGCAATCGCATGCCACGTAAGACCTTTTTTTAGACTTGTATGTTTCTTTCACGTTCTTCAAGGTAATTGCATAATTACTTGCCAGGCGCAAAGTCGCCCGTCGCGACTTCGTTATCTATAGCGCATCTCGGCAGCACTGCTGCGACACCAGGGCCTTTATTCTTGAAATAGTTGTCCATACGTAAGTTTTACTGAGCAGGTTTAATCATACCATAAAATAGCTGCGCAATGAAAATTACGTATACGCAAAAATTTCAAGAATAGGGGCCCAATTCCTCGTACTGAACCGTGCGCCCGCGATTAGCAATCCGTGAATTGGAAATTAATTAGAGACCCGAGGAGAACGAGCCGAGGAAGAAGGTCCTCTCTTCCCGTGTATCCGTCTTTCCGGCTAATCAACCGATATCGTGCCACCGATTACTATTAAAATGAAAGTAGGTCGTGGGAACAAACGCGAAACTTAAAGAAAAAGATGCAAAACCTGATTTTATCTTTTTCTACAAAAAACCTATAAAAACCTGTAATCCTGCACTTCCGAAATAAATTAAATAAAGAAAAATAATCAAATCTAACATAATCAAATCTAAACTTACGCGTAAAATAACATTCAATTATAATAATAGCAAAACAAGTCCTTAATGTCTGTTTAACTATACTTTAACAGCTCGCGTAAGATTATAACAATCCATTTAATTGCACTATACCGAACGCGGGAGATGTGTTCTTCTGGTTTCAGCACGGACAGCGGCTGGGACAACCCGTTCAGGCCGGACGGCGACCTCTCCAGGGAAGCTGACGAGATCGTGGAGTTGATAAAGGGCGGGAAGCCGATCACGCCGACCCCGGGTCAGAACGCGCCGCCGTTGCCGGGATGCGAGGCCGGCAGCAAAACTTCGGCCAGCGGCGAGCACGATCCCTCGAGTACCAGCCCGCTCCTCAAGTCCGCGAATTGCCACGCCAACTCGTCGCCGAGGCCCGGCCAGGAGAACGGCAACGCTCACGGCACCCCTGCGAAGATCGGTAATGCCAGCAATCAGCCCGTCAATGAAAAGGTGAGCAATGAGATCCATAATTTGCAAAGTCCACTTCAAATATTTTTTCTATTTGAAACAGATGAATTATGACAGATTTTGCATTAAATCGACTTACCATCACGATGAATTTATTTAATTTTTTTTCGTAGTGAAGGTTTTTCTTTTATTTGTAAGACAATATATTATTTCTACATTCTTTGCATGATATTGTTTCACAATTGTTCGTAACGAGGATGTGTTTGTCGATGTTTCAGGTCGGCGCGGCGAGAACCGCGACCGTGGAAGTCGCGAGGATGACGGCGCAGGGCCCGGGTGACGCGTCGCAGGTCGAGCACGTCACCCTGAAGAAGAAGCCTAAGTGCAAGTGCTGCGTGCTCCAGTAATGACCGCGCGGCGGAGGCGGCGGGGACGCGCGCGCGAGACGAGACCCTTCTCTGCCCTGTCGGGAGCATGACTTGAGGAACGACGCGGTGCGACTTCTTCGGAAAAAACCTCGAGGACCCAAAGAGTCGTCGTTGGACAACTCGAAGCATTGAGGGGGATCGAGACGTCGACAAAGTAGAAGGGCTCTCGGACGACAAAATCGTCTCGAAGAGGATGAATGTGTCCGGGCATGAGGAAAGCGACGGCGGCACTAGATCGCTTGGGACCTGAAGAATGAATCCGGAAGATAATTTCTCGGAGAGGGAAAACGTTCCCTCGTTTCAAGATCAATGAGGGACCTGGAAAGTGATGTCAGAAATGAAGAGAATATGCTTTCAGTTACGAGAGAGAGGATACTACTCTCGGGTCTCCGAGAGCCCAAAGTATGAGTTTCTTCGTGAGACTTCGAAAAAGACAGTTCGTGTCTCGTAATCGTGAAATAGTCTCAGCATAGATCAACTTGAAGAGATATTTCAGAAGGAACGAGAAGGCTGTCTCGGAGCGCAAGGTATCGTCAATACGCTGACAAGAAAAGTGCAAAGCGATGATACAGGCGAAAAATGATCTCTGGCAGATCGCTGACCCTCTTGCCGAGGAAGATTGCACTCTCAGCAGGATGCCCTCCGGCTTCCAGGCGAGGGACAGGATTTCGAGGTCCACGTGATGAAACACGTGGGGTACGTCAGTGCGCGAACGGACATTGAACCGCGTCTCGAGATTGTGACGCGTTTGTAGAACGCGGTGGAAAGAAAGAGAGACCAGAACAGAAAAAAGGCGAAGGAAGAGAGAGAGAGAAACAAAGAAAAATATATATATATATTATATATATATATTATACATACAAAACTACATTGTAGATACAGAATGGTAGCTGTATAGCTTATATGCTTTTACTATCGTGGTTAATTATCGTCAGGATTATCGTGATTTCGAGGATGCATTGTGCGCACGAGCGCGTAGAGCGCGAGAGAGAGCGAGAAAAAGAGTGAGAGTGAGAGAATGCGTGAGTAAATGTGCGAATGTACGAGCGAGAGAAAGAGAGAGGGAGAGAGAAAGGGAGAAATGATGAATGAAACGACTGTGGGGAGGGAAGTGTGCGACAAGGCATATGTAAAGTTTCGCGGGGGACGTTATTCTTCGTCCGTTAGATCTCGGTACGAGCAGAAGACACATCCACACACACACAAACACACCATCGTTCCTAGAGGGCAAATACGAGGACGGTGACCTCGATCGTTCTTTCTTTGATGTACTGCGAGAGATATTCAACGCGTTAAACGACGTTATATACGCAGAATGTGCCGGATCTATCGTGTTCCCTCGCAGATACGTATTCTTTCGTCAATTTTCTTATTTCGATCCTTACGAATTCGAACAGGCCCTTTTCGTTTTTACTGCGCGCCCGTGAGAGACGACAGCTTGAATTATCCGCGGTTGAAGGAGTGCGTACGTGGGATTTCGTGGGTAAAATTGTTCTTCTCTCCCTTTCTCCCTCTCTGTCGTTTCATGCGCGAGAGCAACTTAGTTTGAGAAGCTGATTTTCAACGTGATATATTTTAGAGTTTTTACGAAGTATCTCCTCTGAACGATTTGTGAAGCGAGTAGAAGAGTGAGACAACGCACGTAGAAAAATGAAAGTTCTGTGTCGAATAGGCAGATGAACTTGCGGACGAAGGCTGATGAGGCAGCTCGTTGATAGCGTTCCTAATTTTACCCACGGAACCCGCTGAAAGGAGGGTTGCTTCCGCGCGGGTACAAATAGCGCTTTCTACGTGTCAGTAAGCGACGCTGTTCCAATAAATTCGATCCCGAGAACCCCGAAGCCACGTCTCTTTCAGGGCGTCGTTGAGCCAACCGTTTGTCGCCCCTCGAATCGGTAAGTTAGCCCTTAATTTTATCCGCCGATATACGAAATTAACACCGATCGAAGAGCGTAACATTTTTTTCTCTTAACAATCACTTTTCGTGAGACACTCGATTTTCGATTTTATTACGATTTTAATGACGAATTCGAGAAATTACATTACGTAGAGAAGTCTGTACCATGCAAGGTTGCGGGACAAAAGCAGAGCAGGGCCAATTAGAACGGGTTAAATGAAAAATCAATTGAACATAAATTCAACATCCAGTGTTCTCTCTCGTCGATGCTCGTTGCCGACGATATTTCTCGCATGTGTTTCCGCGTCTATAACTGCGTTCACGCTCCAGTTGGCCCTTCTCTTCTTACTATCATCAAGAGAGTTAACTCTTCTATTACATCGACGGTCAATCACGGTGAATAGAGTTGCGCCTTTGAACATGAGATTGCCGGAGATTCTGCCGGCATGTTCGATCGAGTACCCGAGTGCATTTTGTTAATTATCGTCATGGGCGCCGCCAGAATTGTTCACGGGAGCTCGCATAAGCGAAATCATGTTTTTAACTAATCTCATTTCACGTGTACCGCAATCACATTTTATGTGCAATTTTAACCCAGAACCACTAAATCAAGCTGTAATTTAAAGTTTTTACGAATTTTTTTATATTTTTAGAAGTTTTAAAAATATAAGGCTAGTTCTCTTTATTTTAAAACTACTCAAAATGATGAACTTCGACGGAATTTCTTCAAAATCCCGAATTTATTTTATTTTAACGAAAAACCACCGTGTTTGTGATTTTAATTAGACCTCTTATACTTTTCTTGCAGTGCCCGTAATTTTTGTATATTCGTATCTACGTTAATGAGAATTTCGCGATCGATCAGGGCGAGCTCGGTTATATCGTGGCGAATAATGAGATGTAGGCTGCAAATATCTCCGTTGAAAATTGAACTTGTGACTTCAAGCGACTCTAAATTCGTCACGGCAAATCCGTCGTTAAAATCCAATCCGGCCGAGACGTGTCTGACACCGCAACCATCTCGGCTCTCATCCTGATCGATCCGCGAAGTGGAAGTAAGCGGCGAGATGCCGAGAAGATAGAGATAGGAAGAAAGAGAGAAACTGGAAACTTGTGTTCGGATGATGCCGCAGATACTATTTTCCTAATTGAACGGCGAAGAGATCTCGGCATCTCCCCGCTTCCATGGTCGACGATTGCTGACTGACGAGGGCAATCCTAATCGCGAACTAGTCGGATATCACCGGGAGGAGTTAACTCTTCGTGGCGGCGATCGAAACGCCTCTTTGGATCATAAATTGTCAGCGAATCATATGGAAATCTACCGGTTGCATGCGAAATTCGCCGCGTAAATTCGTCGATCTCTCTTTATTTTCGAACCGCTTGAAAAAGCACTTTGTGTTCTTTAAGAAAAAAGAAAAAAGATGTCGATAATATTCGTTCTCAGCCTCGTATAGAAGATAGTGAGAAGCGTACGCGCGAGAGATACGGTATGTCTCTTTACTTCTCCTACTTTTTTTTTTCATCGTTTCTATTCTCCGACAACGTGCTCTCTTCAGCTTGTGTTGGTAGTCCTTCGGAGAGGTCCGAAGGATCCAGATATCCGTACATTTCGCGTGCCGCGAAGAGCCGATTGAGCGCGCGATTTGCGCAGCGCAGCGCAACGCAATGCGAGAAACGAGAAAAAGGATCTGTAAACGCGCGCATACCTACACACGAGAACCTCTTACCGTCTGTTCCCACGCAAAATGTTGACTCTGCTGAGCTTACAGATATTAAACGAATATTAAATGTCTTGTTAAAAAAAAGAGACAAGAGAGGAAATGAACGAATGAAGAGTGAAGTGATCCCAACGCCGAGCAGGCTCCCGAGGACGGATGCGGAACATTGCCAAATCGGAATTCCGGCAATGCGTGTGGCGAATGGATTTGTGAATGAATAAGGCGGACTTATGAAACTGGATGGTCTACAAATTTGTGAGATATATGCAAAAAATTCGTATGTCCTCCGCGAGTTTAGCCGTCCTCGGAGGCCGACCGTTTCCCACCACCATCATCTCCTCCTCCGACTCTCGACGATTCCCGGTTTCCTTTCCAGATAACGCAAAATACTAACTTACGATTACAAGCCTATAAATTCGGCGGTACGAACGAATAGGCGATAAAAATTCATGCCGCCGTGCCTCACCGTGAAGTGAGTGCTTCACCATGATGTAGCTGAGGCCCGCCGGAGGAGCATCTGGATTATGCAAGGTGAATTATTTATCGAACTCGCGAGGCGGCCAATTAATTCGAGATATCTCAACGCGCCATTCATCAAAGTTGCAACGACTTAATAATAATTAACAGTCACTCTCGCCGGTAAATATCAGTTGGCGTCAAATAGCTTTCTACCGAGGCGGTAGAAAAGAGATATTCCCGTGGAATGTCATTCTCGCAGATTTGGGAAAGGAATCGCGAGTAGGAATTCTGCGCATAAAATCGCGAAACGCGATCGAGAGTTTGAGTTTCGCAGGCCATTCATTCTTGTTCTCTTTTTTCGTATTTTTTTTTTTTTTTTTATTTTTCTTTCGGCGAAGCGGATGTTTTCATTCATCAGTCGACTAATAACATCGTGTTAAGATGACACAATTATTAAAATTATACTCAAAATATACATTTTGCCACGCGACGGATTTACGTCGTGTACTTGATGACCAGAGTTAAGTTTGATGAATGAATTGCAATTTTCAGGCCGCGAGAAGGCATTCACGAGTCGCGCAGCTTCATGATTTTCCGCCGCTTTTCTGCGGCACGCGTCGCTCGACGCGTTTATCACAGGCGCCGCTTACAAGCTTGCAACCTGCGATCCTTTCGCCGACGAGGAGACGAGTACCGAGTGACGAAACAGCCGCCGACTGGATTATGTTGGCCGATATTGCAAACGCGGTAGTGGCGCGTCTCCTTACCGAGAGCCGAGTCTGTCCCAGATTCGCGCGAGATGCACTTCTCCATGCGAACATTAACCGACCTGCCGATACTTGGCGCTTCGCCAGTGATTGATTCTCCGGTATAACGACCCCTTCGAGCTTTCCCGTCGCTAGACCTTACGTGATCCAGGTATTAATTTAGGAAATCGATGACTATTCAATGCTCCATCGTTGCTTGCGTCTCGTGAATTATCGGTTTGTCATTACCGCGCGATATTTAATCGATCACACTGTGTTAATCGGGGCAACCTATCTCCGTAAACCTGTCGCGTCGGACGCGGGATGGACCTTTGGAGTCGATGTGAGAGCTTCATCCTTCATTAATAACGTGATCACGATAATCGCGCACCTTGGATAAATCCCCTGGACGATTAGATTTCTTTAAACTCTCAGCGAAGAACTTCGCATTGCAAAGGAAGACGGTTATATTTTAACTTTCATACCTTCCAATTCGTTGTTACCAACGCCAAGCGTTACCTCACTTTGTGCGTTTCCAACATTAATTTTATTTTGTCCGGATAATTACTTTATTTATATTTTTCCGTCATTATTTATTGAATTTCGACGGCATCGCGTGACCAACTTATTCGGACCTCTCGTCTTTCTGCCGATTAATAATGATCTCTACTAATTACCGTTAAATGAACGTCGGTTTATCGCGCCGCTATCGGTTCGCAGGGCTGCTTATGTACGATCGATACACGAAAGTGTGTCAGCTCTAATCACAGTCGCGACACTCGCACGCGTGTCCTCGTGTACGCCGTTGCTCGTTTCATTCACGAGCGATCGTCCCCGCGTCGCACTTGCACATGGTGGTGCGGTGATGACGGTTCAGTTAAAAATAACGACCGGCGAACGCGTCAGTTATTAGACCACGCGGAGGGATCGCGGCCAGAATAGCTTGAAGCGCTTAATCCAGAGAAAAGCTGTCTTACTTTATTTACTTATTTGCGATATACCTTGTGTCCAAGTCACATTATTTGTCATATATAATTTGAGAGATTTTGTCATCAGATCACGAAAATAATGTCGTCTCTAAGATATCCTCCATTCGATGAAATTATGATGTTTTGAAGAGAAGAAGATTTTGTAACAAAACTTGTCATATCATCGTTGGATATTTTAATTGAGTGTGAAAGATCCGAAATACTTTTCCTCAGACCGTCTAGCCTTGGAGGAGAAATTTATCGAGCCAAAACCTCTAAATAGTCAGTTTCACCGCTAGAAGGTCTCGAGAGAGATATCCAAAGACGATGTCGTGAATCGCGGTAATTATCTATTTTAAGTGGACTTTAAATTTTAACTAGCTATAAAATATTATTTTACGCGGCACATAGTCTCAAGGAAAGGATTTAACGGACGGAATTTTACATGAACCTTCAAGTGGTCACTTTTGCCGATAGAAGTCTTATAAGAACGACGATGCCTTGAATTGCGATAATTATCGTTTTGCCCGATTGGTCATCGCACCTGAGAGCGATTGGTAAGAATCGCTGAAATTATAATAACGTGAGTTACAGATTAATCCGATGGATTCTAACTCTCTCTCTTCGTTACACAGGGTGCCCGCGACGTTGGCATTTGGGTACATCACGCCGTGCGAAGAAACGAACGAGATTGCGGAATCTTAATAAATCGATAATCGATTACACCGATGATCAGACGCTCCTTGGGACTCTTTCATAAACGCAGCGCTTTCGAATCGCTTGCATAAACATCAGCTAAGGTAACGCGATTGTCCTTGAATAATATTTCGCGCCCATTTTCGTTTGTTGCGTACATTACTAAGCGAGAGATAAATCATTTCTTGTTCGCCGAAAATGGACTCGCGATCGTTTACGCTTGTCGCCTCCCACGAACGAGAAACCAAGATTGGGTAAGTTAACATTTTTTTTAACTAAATTAAGTTAAAGTTAATGGCTTTGAAAATTTAACTTAGTTAAGATAAAGTTAACCCATAATGAAATCAATTGAATTAAAAGTTAAGTTAATAAAAAAAAGTAATTCAAAAGTTAAATTTGTTTTACTTCATGACTTCAGTTTTACAAGTAATGGAAAAAATAAATATACACCTTATTTAGAAACTTGTTTTATTTACAGATATTTATTAAGTTTAAGTAATAAAGTTTTTTCGTCATTTCTGTCGGACATTTTTTCTCGGAGATTGTCGAAAATGAGCCCTCCTGCACTGAACAGCCTTTCGATGTCTCGTGACACCTTTATAACATGATTAACTTCAAGATAATTGAATTAAAAGTTAATAGTTAAAATGTAACTAAGTTAAAAGTTAAGAGTATAAAAATGTAATTAAGTTAAGTTAAAGCTATTTAACTTTTTAATTTAACTTTTAACTTTTTAACTAGTTACTACCCAACCCTGGAAATAATGAAAAATGTCAAAATCGATGGACAGCCAGTGATAGGAGGCTTGTAACACTTTTGCCCCGATGAATTTTAGAATGCATCGGATAGTGAAATTGAACCTTCGCAAACGATTGAAAAACGTATTGAATATGCCTTCGCAAACGACTGAAATTTCTCGTATTGAATATGCCAGGTACACAATTTTTCTTCCGCTGATTGTCAGGATTCAGCCTGTAGGGTCCGCTGATTTGAGTTTACTTTGAACGATTCGGTCTGCGAGCAGTCGCGATAGGAAATTGTATATGTAGAAAAACATCCGGGATAAAATTAGAAGCAGGATTCTCAAGTTCAGTCTTGGATTATCGAGATCGCTTGAAGTTTTAACATTCTGTTTAACGAGAGAGAGAAGGAGATAGCGTTAAATAAATCACGAGCAAGTCCTGGGATTATCGCTCGACCTCGTTGAGAATTCCTCGTCGATCGGCTCTCTCGCGAGTGAAAAATAACTCGAGATAAATCCGGGTGGCGCTTGCAAATTAGCGTTTCGCTCCTGGAGCCAATACTCGGCCCTGGGCAATTTTTCCTTCGCTGCATCTTCGCCGCCGCGGTAAAAACGCGGGGTAAAAACGCCGAGGGATAAATCAGGATAACGCGACAGCCGCGGTGCAAACGCGGCAACGCGAACTTCTACAGCGATTTTTCGTAACAAGCGATACTTTATTTATTTATGATGCCGGAGTTGCGTGCGCCGGACTATAATTTCGCGCGTACGTCGCGTATATGTGCACGCGCGCATGTGTGTGTGTGTGTGTGTGTTGGCGTTGCGCAAGGATATTTTTGTATATCCTCTCGGGAAAGACTGTTCTCGTCGAGAGAGGAGGTGTATCGAACCTTTTGCCAAAGTTATGTAACCGTGAGAGTGATGGCATCGCGTCGGTCACTATTACGTTGTCACTGTTACATTGAACTATCTGTAAATTGCCACTACCTCCTTTGTTACGACACGCCAATCGAAAAATCGCGGTTCTCGGTGAAACCTTTAGGCCACGGTGTCGTCCGATGTACGTTATCCTGCGACAACTTCCTTTCGCTAGTCTGCCTTTGGGAGAAAACGGTGTAAAATCAGATAGTCGACTACCAGAACTCTATCTCGACCAGGAAAATAAGAGTTCGTCCGGTTAATCCTTCGTCCTGCTTAATCCTTCGACGCAAGGATTATGCTCATACTCCGAATTCGATAGATCTATTTTTAGCTTTGTTTTCACCTTCTTTCTGAAGAATACAGAAGTAATGCCACGCTTATAAAAAAGAGTTCCAGCGATAAACAATTGTAATAAAAAGGGACGGAGTGCTAACTTTTTATATTCTCGGTACGATCTACACTAAGAAAAGAAATATCTAAGAAATAAAAAATTTTTGCTCGGTGAGTGTTAATAATACGTCTATTTGAATTTAAGTTAAATTTAAATTCTTTTAAAATTATAATAAAATAAACCACAATGTTTTCATGAAAAACTAAGGTCTTAAAAAAATGAATATTTTCTTATTTAAAAAATACTTTATATTAATGTAAATAATATGTATTATTATAGTACTCACCGAATGTAAATATTTTTCTCTCTCAATATAACGATTCGGAAATAATTGGCGACTTATTCATTGAGGAAAAACCGAGTACAAATTGATACAAAAATTTCCTCAGCCGATTTTTATCAGTTTCATCGGTTTATCCATAATTCATTGTATAGAAATTGATCATTAATGCCTTTGCATCGAAATAATAAAAAACAACTCGTTTTCTAATTATTTTATATGCGTGCCCCGTAATGATGTTACGTCATATTGTATTATATTGCTTGTATTATATACGTTATCGTCCTATCGCGATAATTAACGATACAATGTGTCATTTTTACTACAACTGAGCCATTTCAGATAGCAGCTGTTCTACGTCGGAGATATCGGGGACTGGAAATTGCTTTCCCTTTATTCAATGCGCTTCGATGCGCTTCGTTAGGGGAGCGGCCCTCCTCCTTTCCTTTCCTCTGCGATTCGAGTCCGTTCATCGGCGGTTCTCTCAATATCGATCAAGGCAATCGCTACTGTTGTAGGATCGCGGAATTCGCGTTGGATGGGTTCGGCGACGAGCGGTCGTGCGCGGCGGCAGGAATAAAATGTCAGCAGAAGAAACGGCGCATCCTATTAGGGGGCGAACGCATCCTATTAAAGGTTCAGAGATCGCATTGTTCGTCCGCGTGCCCTTAAACAAGCCAGATCGCGCGCAGGTTCGTCGTCGTGACGACGCTGGCCTTTAAATCGCCGACGATAAATCCCCGGATGTCGTTCCCCGTGCGCGACGATCGCACACGATCGCAGGTGCACCCGCGTGCTGGAGGATACGCCGCGGACTCACTTACGCATGTCCTCGTAACGTCACTTTATCCCGCGCCGCGAATAAAATTCGCGTGCCGCGATGAATCTCGTCATTTATTCCCGTAATGAACGGCGAGGACAGTTAGGATTAACCCTCGCTCATAAATTCACAGCCCCGCGCCACGTAGCGCGACTTTGTTAAGGATCTCTCCTTAACAAAAATGTCGAGGCAGGTTTCGTATTCCAGCCGAGACTCCGAGATCTTTGCGATCCTCGCGTGGGACGATAACGTAAACTCTGATATTTCTAATAGCGATTAAAAATGTCTATTAGAAATAATTGTAATAACATTGTAGAATATAGTTATAATTATATTTATTGTAATAATATGTTATAATTATAGTTAAGTGGGAAACAACGCTGTTACCATTGCAAGTTACTTTTTGTCAATAACGACCTGATAACGATGTCATTTTTTTTCTTTACTATAATGGTAACGCAATTGCTTTTTTTTAAGTTACGGTAACAGGTATAATTGCTATTACTGTCATTACTTTGCACATATAGGATATAACAGATAGTTATATGGAGTAAATGGCAACAACATAAGAAGGATCTTCAAAACGTGAAAAGCAACGGAAATTGTAACGACTCGCTAAGTACTTCTTGACGAATAACGATACCGCGTTACTTTTAAAAAGTAAATGTCCCAATTCTGTAATTAAATAACGATGATAATGATAAGAATATTTCCGAGCTGACACGTCAGTGAATAAAAAGTTGTAGTACTTGGCTCTATGTGTTTCGCAACGTATCTCGTGTCCGTTAGAAAATGTATTTTCTAAGAATTACGTGGAAACATAAATTCTTCTACTAGATACGGAATGCTTTACGAAATTCATCAAGGTAAAAGTGCCGTGATCTTTTATCCACGATAGCGAATAATTAATTAATTTTAACGTACAATAGCGAATAATGAACAAATAAGAAATAAGGATCAATGGACGACGATAAGAAGGACACTCTTCTCCCACAAGGAACAAAACCCACCTGATGAGATGTCGGCTCACTATCGACACGTGCTCGAAATCGCTATTATGACATTCCGCCTCGTCGATGAACCATATATCCGTCCACATTCCCGGATGACCTCGCGACTGTCGGGTCGCCGACTTCGAGAACAATGTTAAGAAGGCCCGTTAAAGCACACAGACACACATACACGCACCAACACCACGCACAAAACGGACGATTGTCGCGTTTAGCGAGTCGCACGCAGACGACGATAGCCGTTCGCGCGGATCGCCCCTTTGTGGACGACGACGAGAGAGGGAGAAGAGCGACGCGATGCATCGTTCACCAGGTATATAAAGATGAGGACCTGCAGGAGCACGGATTCGCCGACAGGACTCCGGTATACGATCCCATTTGTGGTACAGGACGGCCGCGATATCGAGGTGCTCTCTCGAGATGCGTGCCAGGTGATGCAGTGCGAAGTGTCATCCTCATCCTCATCGTCCCCGTCATCGTCAACGTCACTGTCACTGTCGTCGTAACTGACAGCCTCACAATGGTTCATCGCGGGATCATCCTTTCGCTGGTAAGTCTCACGGAGAAATTCCAACGCCTGCATAACAAAGGTGAGGAAAATTCTCGTCAGAAACAGGATCGGATTTTACTTTCGAGTGTGCTGTGATATTTGCAACTTAAATGTTTACGAACGAGTCTATGCTGAAAAAAGGATTTTATTGTCGAAACGAAAATTTGATATACTATATCATAATTTCGTCAAAATGAGGTTAATTGTTTAGTAATTTGCAACCAAAATATTGAATCACCGTTACGTGTATTTTGTTTTCTCAATAATATTTGTACTTGACACAAGTAAAAAACATGTAATGCCAATCAAATCGTATATACCAAATATTTCAGTTCCAAATACAAAAATAATTTTTTCAGTGTAATTGACTGTTCATAGAAGCTGAACACACACAATTTCAGACGATCTCTTGTACTTCACGAGAAGCCTGTGTTTTTGAGTGATTTTCATTTTCGTGCTAGTCTAATTACGTTAATCTAAAATGCACCATACTAATAGCAATATTATCATCCGCTCTCACATTAGATGTTTTGATTATTTTTATCTTGAAAAGAAAAAACTTTATCAACATTCTTACAAGCAGTCGTAATCATTGTGATTGTTTTTCACAAGAATTCGACTATCGCGCTAGTTTAATCACATTAATCTAATTACCAGTAGAAATGACATCGTTCATCTCCATGTTAGACACATTAATTGTTACTTTAGTGTAGAATAGAAAGGGTGAGAAAAGATCCCTCGCAACTTAAAGTCACGACGAGTCGAGATCCGGCATTGTGTCCAACGAGGCAGATAAGAGAATCTGCCGCAGTCACGATGCGCGTGGTCGTAAATTATTCCTCGTTGAGATTCTTCGCATGTTAGAGAACGCAGAGAAACGTGCTACCGTCACAGTTTTGCGATGGTGCGTCTGTTGACGCTGTATTATACGCCGCTACGTAGCCGATTCGAACGCAAATCGCTAGTAAATTTCACGTGTGCGCGCCACGCAATTTCGCATCACGTTGCGCGACGCATTTGCGCCTGCGTGTAAAAGCCCGCGTGGCCTTGTTAACGGTGGTTTTATTAATTTGAGTCTGTAAGTGAATCATCTAATATCGTACGTAATAAACGCGAAACTTCAATGAAAGCCTTATTAACATTTACTAGCCCAAAACTCGTCTTTCTAATGTTTCCAATCGTTCTAATCGTTCGCACTGTTTAGATATATGCGTATACATTGTGACTGACAATTATTTTGCCAACTAAACATATATTTATATTAATAACATATTTATACGTCATAAGATATTAATGACATTATACGTTATCATGTTTGCTGAGTAATGAGTTTTCATCTAGCAAATGTTAGATTCTAAATATCTATGTAATTAACTAAATATCTAATTTTCTAAATATATATGTAATTAACAGTAAATGTTAATTCAGACAACACAAATTTCTTCAGCAAGAAATTCCTTCAAGAAATTTGTGCTGTCTGCAAAGACTTCATTGAAACTTAGTGTACGTGATCTGCGAATAGTCGCGTGTGACATAATTGATTCGACGGTGAATAAAACGAGGAGTCTCAATCGTTTACTAATGAATTGCGGCATCGCGTGTGCGACGTAATATAATGAGCAGAGCAAAAGAAAAATCTGAAAAGAATCGAAATTTCCGATGCTGCACGCGCGGCGGGAAATTGACACGTGCAGGGTCACTTTAGCCTCGATCGAAAGGGCAGCAGCGCGTTAATACGGTTTTATTAGTTCTCTTCGAGCGCAAATCAGCGATGTGTGTTAATTCAATTCGATGCGATCCATTATCTTGCGTGCCGGGCGAAACTTTGCGGGAAATTCAAAACCACGAACGAAGAGCGATGTGTTCGAGAAAATTGACCTAATCGACCAAACGAGACGAGATTGGCAAAATCGGCATGTTGGCTAGCATTCACGAGAAACCGGCCGGTGAATCGCGTTCCTCATCGTTGTATCACGTCAATTAATAATAACTCTGAACGGGTAATATGCTGCAGCCGTGTTAATACCATGGCGATTAACGGCCGCGCGTTCAGTCATATGAAAAAGTCTCTCGTGCCGCGACGCACCGAGCGGATTCTCTTTTTCCTGACCTTTTCCTTTCCCTCTCCTTCCCGTCCCTTTCTCCCCTTTCACCCTCATGCTTCGAGTCGATTAATAATACGCGGGGTCGGCAGCGCGTAACTATTTTAGGAACCAGTTCTGTTCCGCTCATCGAAGACGTCGCGTTGGTCGTCTGATCTCTCTCTCTCTCTCTCTCTCTCTCTCTCTC